TGTTGACAAAACACAGTGTTTTAGTAGTTTGTTCTTATGGCTGCAGTGCTTTCTTTGTGGGCAAGCAGAGACATTTATAGAAATGATCTACATTAATGTGAAACTCCACTTCTCATTTTGGTTTTGACACATTGCTCTCACTTCAGACTATAAAAAGTATGTGTGTGTGTGTGTTGTAGATGACTAAAAGCCCAGTGCGAACTCTCTGTAGAGGACTATCTGAACCTACATCAGTGAGCAAACAGGATGAGGTCACCGTTGCCATGACGACAGATGCACAGGATACAGATGAGGATGATGTCACAGAAGAGCAAGAGTCTTCACCCTCCCCGAGGTCCGACAGATACACACATTTACAGGCACTAGTGGTGTTTGAGAACCTCTTTTACAGGCGTCTCATCTCATCACACACACACATGCAGACGCAAAAGCTCGGTCAATGCATTAGGTTTGATGTAACGTGCACAAACTCTCTTATGTTACTGTGGCGGTGACAAAGGCTGCGTTCCAGTCCACTTTCAGACATGCACTTGTGAACTTCCCTAAGCACTTCCCCTCGGGGGAATCCCTGCCGCCATTTTGAAGTGCGTTCCACTTCGAGGGAAGTTTATATGGACAGACGCGATTTTGACCGAGTCTACTTCATATGTACACTTCAGGCAGCTCCATATACCACAATGCAACACGATTGTGACGTCACCGCAGATCTCGTCTAATCACCACCACCACAAACAACTCTATGATATATTAATTATATTTGTTTTATTTAAAACAGCCCAAACACATCTATATACATGTGGATGCTGCATTAAACAAATTCTTAAAGGGAAGACAAATGTAAATAATAAATCAACTCCATAGCTGATTCCAAGTGATCAAGGGCTTCGTTCCAGTTCAGCCATTGCAGTTTCCGCCAGTAGTGGACACTCGTGCGACGCAAGTGTCACGGACAATAGGAAAATGAAAACAGGAGTTTCTTGTTGAAAAATGTTTCTTTTTTTAATTTACCCCAAAAATACTAAACAATAGAAACCAAAAAGTTAACAACTAGGCCTATAAAAGAGGTCAACAAAATATAACTATACTCAAAACAGCATACAACAAAACAGGACATGAACTGAACAAACTGAATGAGACACAAGGGAACATATATAGTGGCTTAGCCAAACCAATTTACACATAAAGGAAAAACAAAATGGACAACAAATACAAACAACTACAAAGTAAAACAAACTAAACCCAAAATCCCCCTCCAACATGGCAACACATGGTTGTTATTCATCCTGTGTGGCTTGGGCCATCACAGTAAGCTAAGAGGAACATCCGAGTGAACGAGACGGAGGGAAGTTAGCGAGTGAAGGGCATGACCATTTTGGACTGGAACGCAGCCATAATGTAGTACTCAAGTACTCATTCAGTACTCAATCTATGAATTAAATTCAATAAAAAATTTAATTTAACATTTAAAATAAAATAAAAAATGTCAAATTAATATTATACTATATTTTAAACTAAAAAAGTAACATTTAATTTTTTTCAATTCTAAAATAATTGAATAAATTATATTTATATATATATCATTTCAATTTTTTTTTTTTTTTTTTTTTGTACATTTTTTCACAATTTTTCTCTTGAATAATAATGTAAAATCATATATACTGTATATATATATATATATATATACTTTACATTATTATTCAAGAGATAAATTGTGCAAAAATGTACAAATAAATGAAAGATAAAATATACCAGATTTGACATCACTACTTTTCATTCTGCTTTTTAAAGTCTTGAGATTTTTTTTTTTATTGTACTGACAATAATAATGGTTGGAAGATAAAAGATAGTGATTAACTAAACACAGTTTTCAACTTATTAAAATCGAAATATTTTGCACACATTTATAAAAAAAATTCCCCATTTATTGCAGTATACGTGGGTCTTAATACATGCAAATATAAAGCTTCTTTTATAATTTAGTGGATCCCAGAAAGGGGAATCAGGGCCGGCTCTAGCCCTTTGGTTGCCCTAGGCGAGATCGAGTTTTGCGCCCCCCAAGTTTTAGTCTCTCCAAAACTTCAACAAGCAAATTATGACTTCAACTGTATAATAAATTGTTTATACAAATGCTACAAAGAACGTTCAATGATATTTCCATCATCCTACATCCTAGTTGCATTGTACAAATACATTTTGTCTGACCATGTAACTTGTAGTATATTACAATTACTACCACCACTACTATTATTCCTAATCTATTAGGCTGCTACAAGACTAAGGGGGTTTCAGGGGTATGCCCCCGTAAGAACATTTTGTGCATTTTAATGGTAAATTCATCAATCTGGTGCACTTTGAGAGTTCAGAATTAAAAGCTCCAACCCTTATTCAGTGTGCAAATTGAACAAAGAAAAATTCAAACCTTTTTTAGTTACAGTGTCTGTCTGCATTACACTACTACATAATAATAGTTATAATATTAATCCCATGACAGTAATAGCCATAAGCTATTGTAAAACAAATGCACTGAAAAATAAAGGAAACTTTCATAATTAATTTTGTTACTTGGAAGTAACCCAGCGCCGCCAATTAAACAAAACAAAACGAATGGGCCAATGTACGAGTTTTATGGGCCACTAAGACAAAATAAATAAATAATAAAAGTATGATGTATCGGCCCAAAAAGCACGTGGAATCTCTACCGTCCTGGGGGAAAAGAATTCGCTCCCGGTAGTCCCGATGGCCAGCATGCCTGTGCTGTGCACAATACTAAGTACATTTTTTTCGTTTGACACCTAAATGGCTGAGATGAGAAGACTTACCTCTATACTGGGCTTTCTTTTTATCTTGTTGCTTTCTCCGTTTTCGTCCCTGTGCATCAGAGGGTTTCGATCAACGCGCCAGCAGCTGAGCACTTGCCTAACGTAACGTAACGTAACCCCCCGTTAGGAAACTATCGACAATAAACGTGTGGCTGAGGGGGCGCCTTAGGATGATCATGTTTGATAAACGTGTTTTTGTTTCGCTTGTCATTTTAATTCTGTGATTAATGGGAAGTAGGCCAAGGGCGACACTAGAGGGCGCCCGCGCCCCCAACACATTTGTCGCCCTAGGCAACCGCCTAGCAATCGCCGGCCCTGAGGGGAATCATCATATTTTGGCTTCCGTGGCATCAGAAAATCTTCTTTTAACTAACTTTTGACTAATTTTCCTTTATTTTTTAGAAAAAGGAGGAAAGAACCGTGTTCACCCACTGAAAATGGCAATAAATCCCCAAACCATGCTGAACCTCCAGACGTCCCGTCCGAGGGAGAGCCCGAAACAACAGACAAAACGCACGACGGATCAGAATCCGAGACGAACACCAACACGTCTCCAGCGGTGGACTCGACGTCTCAGGAGGACAGCGTTCATCTCGAGGGCCCCGCGGAGCCTCAGGGGCCACAGATGCCCAAAGACCAGCCCAGGGTCCCGCTTCACCCGCTCTCTCCACACTCCTCCATGACCACGGCTCAGACGGTGGTGGTCACTCCTCTCAGCCGCTCCGGGTTTCAGCCCGTGTCCCCGCTACCGACCGACGGTTCGGATCGCGCCGCCCTCGCTCAGAGACTCGCTCAGCTGGAGCGGGAAGCCAAGCGCTTAAAGCGGATCCTGGGCATCCGCGAGCCGGAGGTCGCCATGGTAACGGAGGCAGAAGGGGGCGGGCCTTCTGATGTCACCGCAGTTGAGGAGCGACTTGCGGCGCAAAATGGGAATTCAGTGTCATGTGAGCAAAATGCTGAAAGATTGAATGCGACGTCAACCGAGGAACTTTCTGCTTGCCAGGTAAAATCAAAATACCTTTTAAGAGAGTTCAAAGACAAGTCAAATTTATATGTATAACGCTTTTCACAATACACACATTGTTTCAAAGCAGCTTTACAGAAAATCATGATGTCAGTGTGTAACACTTTACAATATTAGTTAACTTTATGAAGCGAAGATACAAGCAATTCAAGCAGTTTTGCTATATAGTATACAGTGGTGTGAAAAAGTGTTTGCCCCCTTTGTAAATATGATCAGAGATGGCTGTAAAAAATAAATCTGCATTGTTAATCCTTTTGATATTTTATTTAAAAAATTTGAAAAAATCTAACCTTTCATTGAAGTAAAAGAATTGAAAGTTGGGGGAAAATCACATTATGAAATAAATGTTTTTCTCCAAAACACGTTGGGAACAATTATTTGCCCCCTTTTATTAAATACTTTTTGCAACCTCCTTTTCCCAAGATACCAGCTCTGAGTCTTCTCCTATAATGCCTGATGAGTTTAGAGAACACCTGACAAGAGATCAGGGACCATTCCTCCATACAGAATCTCTCCAGATCCTTCAGATTCCCAGATCCATGTTGATGCTTCTTCTCTTCAGTTCAGCCCACTCATTTTCTATGGGTTCAGGTCAGGGACTGGGATGGCCATTGCAGATGCTTGGTTTTGTGCTCAGTGACACATTTTTGTTTTGATTTTGATGCTTGTTTTTGGATCACTGTCCTGTTGGAAGATCCAACCACGGCCCATTATAAGATTTCTAGCAGAGGCTGTCAGGTTTTGATTTTTTATCTATTGGTATTTGAACGAATCCATGATGCCATATATCTGAACAAGATGTCCAGGACCTCTGGCAGAAAATTAGGCCCACAACATTAAAGATACGGTAGAGTATTTCATTCTACACATGGGGTACTTTTTATCCCTGTGTGCACCAAACCCATCTTAAGTGTTTGCTGCCAAAAAGCTCTTTTTTTTGTTTCATCTGACCATAGAACGTTTGAAAAGTAACTGACACTACAGGAACTTCAAATGGGATGGGTTCAAATGGGATGGGTTCTATGGTCAGATGAAACAAAAAAATTTGCTTTTTTGGCAGCAAACACTTAAGATGGGTTAGGTTCATACAGGTATAAAAAGTACCCCATGTGTAGAATGAAATACTCTGCTGTATCTTTAATGTTGTGGGCCTAACTTTCTGCCAGAGGTCCTGGACATCTTGTTCAGATATATGGCATCATGGATTCGTTCAAATACCAATAGATAAAAAATCAAAACCTGACAGCCTCTGCTAGAAATCTTATAATGGGCCGTGGTTGGATCTTCCAACAGGACAGTGATCCAAAAACAAGCATCAAAATCAAAACAAAAATGTGTCACTGAGCACAAAACCAAGCATCTGCAATGGCCATCCCAGTCCCTGACCTGAACCCATAGAAAATGAGTGGGCTGAACTGAAGAGAAGAAGCATCAACATGGATCTGGGAATCTGAAGGATCTGGAGAGATTCTGTATGGAGGAATGGTCTCTGATCTCTTGTCAGGTGTTCTCTAAACTCATCAGGCATTATAGGAGAAGACTCAGAGCTGGTATCTTGGGAAAAGGAGGTTGCAAAAAGTATTTAATAAAAGGGGGCAAATAATTGTTCCCAACGTGTTTTGGAGAAAAACATTTATTTCATAATGTGATTTTCCGCCAACTTTCAATTCTTTTACTTCAATGAAAGGTTAGATTTTTTCAAATTTTTAAAATAAAATATCAAAAGGATTAACAATGCAGATTTATTTTTTACAGCCATCTCTGATCATATTTACAAAGGGGGCAAACACTTTTTCACACCACTGTATATCGCTTTACGTGACGGTACTGTATTTATGCAACGAAACGTTGGACATATTTATATATCCAACTTTATATAAAGAGCTGGGTGAGAATATAGTTACATTTTGAAACTAAATAAAAAATCGGGGAGTTTTGATTTGCTATATAGTATATATCGCTTTACGTGTATGTATGCGGATAAAGTATATACTGTATAGGATATAATTTTTATCCAACTTTATATATAACTGCGATAATAAAGTTGACATTTTTTGGCCATAACAATAAACATTAATGCAAATGAGATTGGCTGTGTAGTATACTGTATGTACGCTGGTAAAGTAAGATGTACTATATATCCAACTTTTAATATAGTTTACATTTCTTGGCAAAATAACAATCAGGCATTTGAGATTTGCTATTTACAGGTGAAACTCGAAAAATTAGAATATCGTGCAAAAGTTCATTCATTTCAGTAATTCAACTTAAAAGATGAAACTAATATATTATATAGACTCATTGCATGCAAAGTGAGATACTTCAAGCCTTTATTTGTTATAATTTTGATGATTATGGCTTACAGCTTATGAAAACCCCAAATTCAAAATTAGAATATTGTGAAAAGGTTTTCATATCTGTAAGCCATAATCATCAAAATTATAACAAATAAAGGCTTGAAATATCTCACTTTGCATGTAATGAGTCTATATAATAAATAAGTTTCACCTTTTAAGTTGAATTACTGAAATAAATGAACTTTTGCACGATATTCTAATTTTTCGAGTTTCACCTGTAGTACATACCACTTAATGTGAGTGTACTGTATGCATCCGAGTTTGATATACTTATACTAGTTGTATAATTTGTCATTAATTATTCATTCGTTAATTATTTTAAGTCAGGAGTAGTAACAACAAGCCTAATTTGGTGAATCATTAAAATCAGTAAGACACTGTGTAGTTTTCAATCAGAGTACAAAACATGTTTAACCCTTGTGCCTCGTTTAAAAAAAGTTACACAGCTCCATAGAGGACAGAAACGTCCACATCAAAAAACTGTCATAAAAATGTGAAGTTTGGTATCATTTTAAAGAAGACCCTTGGCAGATTATTGCTGAAGTAAAAAAAAAGGAATAAGTCAATCAAAAAAAAAAGTTATATAGGTTCAAGTTTATGAAAATTATTTATGAACATTATTTTATATAAAATATATATTTTATAAAACAAGTTGAACTCAAAAACGGCTAGAAAATCAAAGCCATTAATATAAATAAGTTGTGTTCCAAATTTGAGGTTGATATCTCAAAAAATGAGCTTTCAGTAAGAGTTAGTTTGGCCGCAGTAACAGACTTTCCCCATCGGATGCCATGCAGCAAAACTCCACTGGTCACACAGTGATTGGATTTTAGATTTGCAGTTGAGTTTTTCCTCTCTCAATATTACAAACACACACATATATACATTACCGTTCAAAAGTTTGGGGTCGGTATGATTTTAAATACTTTTAAAAGAATTCTCTTCTGCTAACCATGGCTGCGCTTATTTGATTAAAAATACAACAAAAATCAGTTATAGTATTAAATATTATTCCAGTGTAAATCAGCTGTTTTCTGTGTGAATATATAGTAAAGTGTAATTTATTCCTGTGATCAAAGCTGGATTCACCAGTGTCAGTGTCTTCAGTGTCAAATGATCCTTCACAAATCAGTATAATATGAGGATTTGATGCTCAAGAAACATTTATTATTATTATCAATGTTGAAACAGTTGTTGGTCTGTCAGTTGTACAGTTTTTTTTTTTTTTTTAGGATTCTTTGATGAATAGGAAGTTCAAAAGACTTTTGTAACATTATAAATGTCTTTACTGTCACTTTCGATCAAATTAATTATTCCTTGATAAATAAAAGTATTAATTTCTTTCCTCCAAAAAATAAAAATAAAATTCTCACTGACCCCAAACTTTTGAACGGTAGTGTATATTTTTTTATAACACACATACCAACCACACTCTGACATCCATACCAACACACCCACACAAATATCATTGCATAATTTATCCAGTTGGCTCTATAATATGCCGAAGCAGAAAACAGGAATAAAGCGAGAATTTGCTTTATAGACCAAACCTGAAAAAATGGCACCATCTGATAAAAAAATAGTAAAAAAATTTATTTTGAAGCCTTGCCAACAGAATGAAAGCCTCTTAACAAAGATTGCATCATTTTATAGTAAAATGGCCCTGGGAGAAAAAAAAAAAAAAGCAGTTTTAATGCGGCCAATATTTGTCCTAAAGGCGCTGAGTGGGAGTATTTTGCGTGCAAAAAAGATTTTTTTTAAGGAAATAGCGGTGAAATGGTAAAATTACAATAAAAATACACACCTGTGCCAAATTTTATGCAGTTAGCATTAACACAGGCAAAGTGATCAAAAAAACAAAACTGAAAAGACCAAAAATGGCCCTAAGGAGGCACAAGGGTTAATTCAAAATCGTACACACCTTGTTAAATACCTTTAATCAGCAGAAATCGGAGGAACAGGCGAACAGGCCTCCAGCGCAGTGGAGCAGTTCATCCCCGATCCAGCCGGAGGCAGAGACGAGTCCCAGAGACGAGCTGTACTGGAGCAAGACATTAGCCAAACTCCAGAGCGAGAACCAGTCGCTGTCCACGGACCTGAGCCAGCTGAGAACTGAGAGACACACACTGCTGAACCGGGTCACACAAACTGAGAGAGACACACAGGAGAGGAGAGACCAGAGCACCAACACACCCAACCTCACGTACAACAGGTGTGTGTGTGTGTGTGTGTGTCAATCATTACAAAACAGCTTTAAAAGTTTTTTTGTATTTTACATTTTTTGCTGATTTTTTTCTGACCATGTGTATTTATACTGTGTGTGTGTGTGTGTGTGTGTGTGTGCATTTATATACAGGTCCTTCTCAAAAAAATAGCATATTGTGATAAAGTTCATTATTTTCCATAATGTAAGGATAAAAATTCAACTTTCATATATTTTAGATTCATTGCACACCAACTGAAATATTTCAGGTCTTTTATTGTTTTAATACTGATGATTTTGGCATACAGCTCATGAAAACCCAAAATTCCTGTCTCAAAAAATTAGCATATCATGAAAAGGGTCTCTAAACGAGCTATTAACCTAATCATCTGAATCAACTAATTAACTCTAAACACCTGCAAAAGATTCCTGAGGCTTTTAAAAACTCCCAGCCTGTTTCATTACTCAAAACCGCAATCATGGGTAAGACAGCCGACCTGACTGCTGTCCAGAAGGCCATCATTGACACCCTCAAGCAAGAGGGTAAGACAGAAAGAAATTTCTGAACAAATAGGCTGTTCCCAGAGTGCTGTATCAAGGCACCTCGTCGGGAAGTCTGTGGGAAGGAAAAAGTGTGGCAAAAAACGCTGCACAACGAGAAGAGGTGACCGGACCCTGAGGAAGATTGTGGAGAAGGACCGATTCCAGACCTTGGGGGACCTGCGGAAGCAGTGGACTGAGTCTGGAGTAGAAACATCCAGAGCCACCGGGCACAGGCGTGTGCAGGACATGGGCGACAGGTGCCGCATTCCCCAGGTCAAGCCACTTTTGAACCAGAAACAGCGGCAGAAGCGCCTGACCTGGGCTACAGAGAAGCAGCACTGGACTGTTGCTCAGTTTTGCATGTCATTCGGAAATCAAGGTGCCAGAGTCTGGAGGAAGACTGGGGAGAAGGAAATGCCAAAATGCCTGAAGTCCAGTGTCAAGTACCCACAGTCAGTGATGGTCTGGGGTGCCATGTCAGCTAGCTATCAGGAGATTTTGGAGCACTTCATGTTTCCATCTGATTTCATTTTTCAGCATGACCTGGCACCTGCTCACAGTGCCAAAACCACTGGTAAATGGTTTACTGGCCATGGTATTACTGTGCTCAATTGGCCTGCCAACTCTCCTGACCTGAACCCCATAGAGAATCTGTGGGATATTGTGAAGAGAAAGTTGAGAGACGCAAGACCCAACACTCTGGATGAGCTTAAGGCCGCTATCGAAGCATCCTGGGCCTCCATGACACCTCAGCAGTGCCACAGGCTGATTGCCTCCATGCAACGCCGCATTGAAGCAGTCATTTCTGCAAAAGGATTCCCGACCAAGTATTGACTATTGAGTGCATAACTGAACACAATTATTTGAAGGTTGACTTTTTTTTTTGTATTAAAAACACTTCTTTTATTGGTCGGATGAAATATGCTAATTTTTTGAGATAGGAATTTTGGGTTTTCATGAGCTGTATGCCAAAATCATCAGTATTAAAACAATAAAAGACCTGAAATATTTCAGTTGGTGAGCAATGAATCTAAAATATATGAAAGTTTAATTTTTATCATTACATTATGGAAAATAATGAACTTTATCACAATATGCTAATTTTTTGAGAAGGACCTGTATATACACACACACACACACACAATGATGCATTATTTATAAAAAAAAAAAAAAAAAAAAAAAAAAAAGACATTTGTAATGTTACAAAAGATTGTCAAATAAATGCTTTAAATGAATTATTTAGAACTTTCTATTCATCAAAGAATCCTGAAATAAAATGCATCAATTTCCACAAAAATATCAAGCAGAACAACTATTTTCAACACTGATAATAATCATGTAATAGTCGATCAATAATCAATAAATGTTTCTTGAGCATCAAATCATATTATTATGATTTCTGAAGGATCATGTGACAAATGAAGACTGGAGTAATGATGCTGAAAATTCAGCTTTAATCACAGGAATAAATTACACTTTAAAAATAAATGTATTCAAATAGAAAACAGGTATTTTAATTAGTTTTTACTGTATTTTTTCCATCAAATAAATGCAGCATTAAACATTAAAAATCATACTAACCCCAAACTTTGAACTATGTATATATGAGCATCTCTGTCGTTCCTCCCTGACAGCAGTGTGACTCTGGAGAGGCTGCGCTCCATCCGGCGAAACGTGGTTGCATTGCTCTCCTCCATCCTGCCAGACCTGGACATGCAGGGAATCAGCTACGACACCATTGATGTAGACAGCATCCTTCAGCAGATCATACAGGCCAACAACCTGTGAGCCTTCACCCGGGACCGGCCAATAACAAGCGGACACGCTGAAGACCGATAGCTCACCGCAGCATTAAAAACAACTTATATGGCAGGTTAAAGCTACATTTCACACACAAACACATTCATGTAGTCATTCTGAAAGCTAATGAATCCTCATAGAGAGGCTTTGCAACAATATGCACAGGTGTATGAGCCTTGATGTTTAATGCATATCGTCAGCCTCATACGCACATCCGGCGCTACGTCATAGAATGTCTCTGAACAGATTCACGCCCACTTTTGGGGGAAATAAACTAGACTTCCCATAGACTTCAATACAAAATAGCGTCACAAAACAACGTCCGTACACAGCCGAAAGGCGTGAATAACTTAAGAAATCATTAAGATTAAACATGTCAAGTAATTATATGTCCACCCTGTCTGCCATAGAGCGTAAAAGATACATACACAAACTTAATTTGCTCAATTTAAAAACATGTCCGTTTATTCTCCCAGCGTCAAATTGGTGTAACAACCCCACCCAGTGGGCAGAGGTGTCTTTCTTTTACTGTCTATGGTCTTACCCTGACATTTACTCGTATCGTACTTCATCGAGTCACCATATGGTAAGCCAGTGAATGATTTTACTTCGTTGCTGAAAGTAAACGTCTTTAAATGTATATATTTTGTCTTATAATATACATTATAATATATATAACCTCACTGGGTGGGGTTGTTACACCAATTTGACGCTGGGAGAATAAACGGACATGTTTTTAAATTAAGCAAATTAAGTTTGTGTATGTATCTTTTACAGGGCAGGCAGGGTGGACTTATAATTACTTGACATGTTTTATATAAGTGATTTCTTAAGTTATTTACTCCTGTCGGCTGTGTACGGACGTTGTTTTTTGCCGTTATTTTGTATTGAAGTCTATGGGAAGTCTAGTTTGTTTTCCCCCAAAAAGGGGCGGGGATGAAATTGACAGTTAAGTTCCCGGATGTGTCGGTTGTGCGTATAGCATAATTGTCGTTTTGTGTTTTTTCTTGTTTTCCAAAGACATTGAAATATGACTTAGGCAATAATGCTATGAGGCTTAACGATATGACATTTATAGAGCTAATTTTGCATGCATGGATCTGGCAAAAATGCGTGCTGTGTCTCCAGTGCTGCGAGCCAACGGACTTTCACAATCATGTCACAGACGCTTGAGGTTTCACACACACACACACATTTCAGCTGCACTGCTCTTTCATCCTTCACATACATGCATGCTTGTACATATTTAAACCTGCTGTTCTTTAAGAGCTTTTAATACAAATGTTTTTAGGGGCCAAGCACAATGTTGAATCGTTGGCGTTATTATTATTATTCCTTTGGAAGTCTATGGCAGCTCATAGAACCGCTTGCAGGAAAGTTATGAAGTTTGGCACACTGATAGAGGACAGTCTGAACTGTCAACATAGCAAATTGTAGTATTATTATTTTTCTATACATATTTTTTTACACTTTTGTAACAACTGATGGTCTAATTTTTCAAACGGATACTTGTGCAACGCCACACCTTTTATTTGAACTTTCATTTCCCTTTTGTTCATCATATAATAAAAGTCATCAGTGTTGTTGTTTTTTTTGTAAGAGGTTTCTTGGCACATTTATTTTCAATCATGACTATGATTGCAAGGTTTGTCGTCCTCTTGAAGACTATGCAATAAGGCGCTTTTGGACAACTCAAGTTTTTTTGTTTAATTAGCAAAATGTAAACAATGAGTCAACATCATCAATCATTCTTTCACCATGGTAAGCCTATTATAAGTGTTATAAATGTAAATGACTCGTAAATGTAAGTTCACATGTAAGTGACAGACAAGAACGGTTTGACCTAAAAATATCAAAATTGAAACTACTGCGGAAACAAAGACACCTACATCTTGGATGCCCTTGAGATAAGCTAAAACATACCACAAAATCATTTCAAAGTGAACTATCCCTTTAATGCTTCATTATTGATTCAAAAATCTCTCATTTCTACTGGTTCAAATGTTTTCTTCGTCCCCGTTTAAATCATATTCATATTTTAAAGCTCTTTAAACATATCATCTAAAAATAATAATACTGAAGCCTTTCAGATTTCGGAGCCGAACAGGCTTAATTTAAAGCTAATTTACTTAGTACAAAAGCAATTGTTAAAAATCACAAATATCGAATAGAAACGGGACAAACAAAAGCAAAGCGATACATGACTGAAAACAAACAAATCTACAACCTCCGGGAAATCACCTGTTTAAAAAATAAAAAACGCAGAAAAAAGAGAGTCTGCTGACAAAAAGAGAACGAGACAGAGCTCGTAATAAAACAAGAATCAACATTAGCTTGGCTTTTCAGAGATGCCAAGAACTGAGGGATTTGAAAAAGTGCAAATGTTGTAAAAGCGACGCAGAGATAATGGTTTTTATTACTCGACAGAGTTAAATTGCCATATGTACTACAGGTGAAACTCGAAAAATTAGAATATCGTGCAAAAGTTATAATTTTGATGATTATGGCTTACAGCTTATGAAAACCCCAAATTCAAAATCTCAGAAAATTTTAATATTACATGAAATCAATAAAAAAAAAAAAGGATTTAAAATTTTCACCTTTTAATTTGAATTACTGAAATACATGAACTTTTGCCCAATATTCAAATTTTTCGAGTTTCACCTGTATCTCTCTAACAGAATTTACTGTCAAGCATCTATTGCGAAGGCTCATTTCATAATGGTTGTTGTAGCGCTGTGCTAGAATTTATTTATTAATATTATTTTCTCTAAGTACCTTGTATATTAATGGGTAAAGCTAGTCTCCCTGTCCCAAAATGGCTCACTTCATATGGTCTTACAATGGCCATAGTGTGCGCTGTCCATTAGGTCCTCGAGACCATAGGGTGTCCCATTGGCCATTTTAGGTGTCAGAAGCGCTGATATGCTCCCTCTGTGCACGTTTGCGGAGCCCGCGAGCTAATCGTCACGAAAGTGCGGACTAGGCGGACGATCCTGAGGGCTAAGGGCACAACCAAAACAATGTTCTTCCGCAAAAGGCACGTGGTTTTGTTTTTTAACTCCTAGTGGGCCAAAAGTTAAATAGTGTAGGCCTAGCTATAAGTGGATGTGCATGAAAACACTAAATACGCTCTGACTTGAACTTGATTTTTATTACATAATATTACACAATACTGGTTTAATGACAATACGTTTTTTAACAACTTTTAAATGAGTGGACATCAGCTGCAGGTCACAGACAGAAAGCCTACAGAAGGAGAAACTCGCCACAAAGAGAAGAACAACTCACTCCTTTTACAAAATGCACGATGAATGTGGAAACAGTGTTAGTTTGTGCATTAATTAACATAGTTAATTAGAAACACAGTGAAGTGAAGCCAGTTATTTTCACAGTTAGATAGAGGTCACGGGAGAGTCGTTCACATTCAGATTCACCGTAAATGAGTGTGTTTCATAGCGGAGATGAGCTATAATCCAATTTTAAAAACCTTTTTATAGATTTTAATGCTTCATTATTGACTTAAAATCTCTCATTTCTACTGGTTCAAATGTTGTCTTCGTCCCCGTTTAAATCATGTTCATATCTTAAAGCTCTTTAAACATATCATCTGAAAATAATAATACTGAAGCCTTTCAGATTTCTGAGCCGAACAGGCTTAATTTAAAGCTAATTTACTTAGTACAAAAGCAATTGTTAAAAATCACAAATATCGAATAGAAACGGGACAAACAAAAGCAAAGCGATACATGAGTGAAAGCAAACGAGAACGATCTTTGCGAACGATTTGACGTTAAAACTTCTGATATTAGAATGTGATATGCAACTATTTACAGTTTTAAGAAGCTCGACTACATCTCATTAAATGCACGCGTCCAGACTCGTTCAGTCATGCGATTAAAGATCAAGTCTGATCAACAGGTTCTAGATTCATCGAGAAAGTTCTTTTTAATCATGAACCTTCTTTTAATAGTTCTAGAACATAATGCTATTATGGCTCAAGAAATCTCCAGGCCGAAGGTTACAGACTTCTAAAATTGATACAAAAGAAGCATAGCGATCAAGAAATGAAAATATAGTTTGCAACTTTTATTGCATTTTCCAAAATAAATGTAACCGGGCTTAATTTATAAAACACAAGCAGAACTAATTTGTGAAAATCATTTAAAGATTTTTTACGGAATGTTCAACGAACGAAGAAAAAAAAACGTATTTTTAATGTAATGCTATGATTCATATAAAAATGGTTTAATTAAATTTAATGCATCAATTTATGTAAATATAATTTAATCATACTGATTTTTTTCTTTTATTTCAACACGGGGTGCCTAAAAAAACATTTAATACAACAACGTACATCATTTTAATTTTGATAAAGTGTATCAATTTACATAAATTTAGTGTTTTAATAAACTATGCAACAGTTTACTCGGATATGGTGGCATAAATGTTTTTAAGCATTCAATCCAATTTACGAAGGTCTAATTCATTTCAATGCTACAATTTGCATTAGTGATTTGCACAAATTCGCTCTGCTTGATTTGAACGAATGAAGCCCAATGATTGTACTTGCTTTGGCCTGACAACAGAAAATAGTGGCGAATAAACAAGAAACGAGATTAAAGGCCATTATAGTGCTCAATTAATCGGCTACATTTTTTACTGTACCTCTCGTCACGGTTCGGACGACTAAGACGAGCCAGCGTTGTAACGTTTGTGTAGCTTCTGGCAAATACACATCTGACAATAAACGCACAGTAACGATGACGCCGTCCTCTCAACATCACAACAAACCCGTGCGACGCTGCCCTCGACTGACGGTGAGAGTCTGATCATTAAAGCAAGGCAATGACTTGGTTAAAAACGGTAAAGCTGATTTTTAACACACAGAAACATGTCTTTGAAACAAAGCTGTGTGCAAAGTGAACAACTGTTTCCATCTGAGGGGTCAAAGTGAATCTGAAGAGTCTAATGAGTTAAAGTGAGCATTATGAGGTCGACGCTTCATCACCTAAAGGACACTTCTTACCGCCAAATACACCGATATATATCCAGCTATACGTGCAAGAAAGCATTAGTGATGTACTCTTTTAGTGCGAGATAATCGCTCTCATTCCTACCTGGGACTCAAGACGAGTGTGCAAATCAAATATTTAGTGTGATGTTTCATTCGTTAATCTGTATGAGTAATATATGCAGTTCCTGTAGATATATTTAGATTTGTATGGGCCATATCCCATAATCCTCCATTCCAGACCTGCTAGTTGACGCGTAAACCCAGCAAAACCGGACGCTAGGATGGAACGTGGTCTTTTTTAAGACGTGGTCATTTGTAGACTATGACACAGGAGTATCAAACTCCGACAGACAGCATCCGGAAATACATACATATACATATCGGTATGTGTGTGTGTTCGTGTGTTCATGCAAGAGTGTAATCATTGCGTGGTCAGAGAGAAATCGAGATCGCTCGACGTACTGATCTGTCTTTCAACCGCTCTCAGCGACTTGCACGCCTTTATTTTGCTCTGGATGTCGTGTTTCTTCTCGAAGTAGTCAACCAGCGATGTCTCCGTGAGGAACGACGCTAGAACCTGCTCGAATGTGATCGACCAATCGGCATCCGGCGCGCTGCCCCGCCTCCGATCCCCCCCGTCTCCGCCCACGCAGCCGATCAGAACCGTGTCGTCGGCGATGTCCTCGCACTGCAGCGAGCCAGCGCTCACCACGGAGTACGAAGAAACGGACGTGTCGTCTTTGGCCTCTTCGTCCGAGCCGGACGCTGTGGGAGGAGGCGTCTCTAGCTGGGCCTCCGCCAGGGCCTTTGAGACCAGGGACTGTCCTGATCCTCCCTCCCCAGACGAGTCCTCTCTGTCGGGCTGAAGAGCGTCGACGGCGGAGGCCTCGGCTTTCTTTCCCCCGTTGTTGCTGAACTTCTTGCCCACTTCTCCGATGCGCAGCAGGAGACTCGCCACTGTGGCGATGCCGTGATAAAGCTCCTGCTCCATGGGATCTTCGCTGAACATGTTGTAGAGAGTCTTACACATCTCAATGAACTGCTCCTGGAAATGTAGGAACACGTGAAAATGCGTTCAAGTCACTTCAAGGCTATTTTAATTGGCCAAACACTGCAGTACAAGGTTGCTACTTTGGTTTACAATAAGGTTCATAGTTAACATTAGTTAATGTATTGTTACAGTATTTATAAATCTTTGTTAAAGGATTAGTTCACTTTTAAAAAAACTTTTGCTGATAATTTACTCACCCCCATGTCATCCAAGATGTCCATGTCTTTCTTTCTTCAGGCGAAAAGAAATTAATGTTTTTGATGAAAACATTCCAGGATTTTTTTTTCATATAATGCACTTTGCTGGGCACCAAACGGTTCAAGGTCTAAATGACCGTTTCAGTGCAGCTTCAAAGGGCTTTAAACGACACCAGACGATGAATAAGGGTCTTATCTAGCGAAACGATCGGTCATTTCAAAAATAAAAATAAAAGTTAACGTTTTATAGGCACAAATGCTCGCCTTGCGAACTCTCCTGTTCGAACTCGTTCATCAAAGTGAACGAATCTTTTTTCGAGTCAATGACTCTAAAAAAAAGATTTGTTCATTTTGATGAACGAGTCATTGACTCGAAAAAAGATTCGTTCATTTTGATGAACGAGTTCGAACAGGAGAGTTCGCAAGGCGAGCATTTGTGCCTATAAAACGTTAACTTTTATTTTTATTTTTGAAATGACCGATCGTTTC